TAGTGGTGTGCACCTGTAATCACAGCTACTTGGGAGGCTGAGGCAGGAGAATCGCTTGAAGCCCAGGAGGGGTAGTTCAGTGAGCTGATATCGCGCACTGCACTCCAACCTGAGAGACAAGAGTGAGACTCTGTCTCAAAAAAAAAAAAAAGAAAAAGAAAAGAAAAAGAAAAAGATTAAGTCTATTAAGTTAAACCTATACACACACACACATATATAAAGTATATAGAAAAGCAGTGAGTGACTGGCAAAATGTAAAACAAATAGTGAAAAGAATATCTGGGATTTTCTTTCTTTCTTTTTTTTTTTCTGAGACAGTGTCTTGCTCTGTCACCCCAGGTTGGAGTGCAGTGGTGTGATCTTGGCTCACTGCAAGCTCCGCCTCCTGGGTTCATGCCATTCTCCTGCCTCAGCCTCCCGAGTAGCTGGGACTACAGGTGCCTGCCACCATGCCTGACTAAATTTTTTTTATTTTTAGTAGAGATGGGATTTCTCTGTGGTCAGCCAGGATGGTCTCGATCTCCTGACCTTGTGATCCACCCGCCTTGCCTCCCAAAGTGCTGGGATTACAGGCGTGAGCCACTGCGCCTGGCCTCCTTTTTTTTTTTTTTTTTTTTTTTTTTTTTTAATATTTTTACCTTATTTACAAAGAAGAACTTTTTTTTTTTTGAGACGGGAGTTCTGCTCTGTCTCCCAGGCTGGAGTGCAGTGGCATGATCTCAGCTCTCTGCAACCTCTGCCTCCCAGGTTCAAGCAATTCTCGTGCCTCAGCCTCCTGAGTAGCTGGGATTACAGGCACCCACTACCATTCCTGCTAATGTTTTTTGTTTGTTTTCTTTTTTTTTTTTTTCGCCTGGCTAATTTTTTTATTTTTAGTAGAGATAGGGTTTCACCATGTTGTCCAGGCTGGTCTCGAACTCCTGACCTCAGGTGATCCACCTCAGCCTCCCAAAGTGCTGGGGTTATAGGCGTGAGCCACTGCACCCAACCAACTTTACTTTTTAGAGCAGTTTTAGACTTACAGGAAAATTAAGCAGAAGACACAGAAAGATGCCATATATGCACTTCTCTCCACACACAGTTTCCCTTATTATTAACATCTTGCATAGGTGTGATATGTTTGTTACAATTGATGAACCAATTTTAAAGTTCATAGTTTGGGCCGGGCATGGTGGCTCATGCCTGTAATCCCAGTACTTTGGGAGGTTGAGGTGGGAGGATCATGTAAAGTCCGGAGTTTGAGGCCAGCCCGGCCAACATGGTGAAACCCCATCTCTACTAAAAATACAAAAATTAGCTGGGTGTGGTGGCGTGCGCCTGTGATCCCCGCTATTCAGGAGAATTACTTAAACCTGGGAAAAACGGAAGTTTCAGTGAGCCAAGATCAGGCCACTGCACTCCAGCCTGGGTGAGAGAGCGAGATTCTGTCTCAAAACTCAAATAAAATAAAGTTCATAGTTTGCATTGGGGTTCATTTTTTGCGTTATACATCCTAGGAAATTTGACAGATATATAATGTAATGTATCGATGCCCTAACTATATTTTTAGCTCGTTATTTCACTGAAGATAAGAGTTACAAAAAACAGGCTGAGGCCAGGCACAGTGGCTCACATCTGTAATCCTGGTACTTTCGAACGCTGCGGTAGGTGGATCGTTTAAGCCCAGGAGCTCAAGACCAGCCTTGGCAACATGGTGAAACACCATGGTGTCTAGAGGAAAATTTTAAAAATTAGCTGGGTGTGGTGGCACGCACCTGTAGTCCCAGCTACTTGGGAGGACTGGGATGGGGGGATTACTTGAGCTTGGAAGGTCGAGGCTACAGTGAGCCAAGACTGTGCCACTGTACTCCAGCCTGGGTGACAGAGAGAGACCCCGACTCAAAAAAAAAAAAAAAAAAAAGATTTACAATAATCATGAACAGAAACTTGAAACAAAATTCCAAATGAACCATATTTTATGTCAAGAAGGTATTCCTCCACTTACCTATTTTGTACATCAAAATGTGGCTGACAATTCAGGGAGCTGTGCTTAAAGACCCAGAGACAGGAAATGTTCCCTGGGGTGTCGACCAGCACTTGCAATGTGATGGAAGCAGATACATCCACTTCCACCGTGGCGGCTTCGTACACTGTCCCTGCGCTCTGGGGTCTCAATGCACACCCGAGGTCTTCTGGGGATTCTGACACCTACATTGTAGACAGAAAAAAGTGAATTCAGGAAAATTGCAGGTCTAAGGCCTCCCCTTCTTCACATCAAAACTTTATCAAATACATTCATGCTGACACACCGCACACAACACCCACACAAGTTGGAACCCACTGAGAACACGTTGCCGACAGAAGGTCCTATAAATTACAATTCTCTAAAGAAAAGATAAATAACTTCAGGCTGCATTTCTAAAATGTTGTACAGACTGACATGGTGGGTGTCCCCCTACCTCTGCAAATTCATATGTTGAAATCCCAACTCTCAGTATCTCAGAATGCAACTTTATTTGGAGATGGTCCTTCACAGTGGTAATCAAGTTATAATGGGTCATTACGGCGAGCCTAAATCCAGTATGACTGGTGTCCTTAAAAGAAAAGGAGGCAGGGCGTGGTGGCTCACACCTGCAATCCTAGCACTTTGGGACGCTGAGGCAGGCAGATCACTTGAAGTCAGGAATTCGAGACCAGCCTGGCCACCATTGTGAAACCCCATGTCTACTAAAAATACAAAAAATTAGCTGGAAGTGGTGGTGGATGCCTGTAATCCCAGCTCCGTGGGAGGCTGAGGCAGGAGAATGGCTTGAACATGGGAGGCGGAGGTTGCAGCGAGCTGAGATCACGCCACTGCACTCCAGACTGGGCAACAGAGTGAGACTCTGTCTCAAAAAAAAAAAAAAAAAAAAAGAAGAGATTTGAAGGCAGATACACAGACAGTAAGAACACCATGTGAACAGTAAGACAGCCATCTTCAAGCCAAGGAGAGAGGTCTGGAACAGATTCTTGCTCACTGCCCTTAGAAGGAACCAACCCTACTGACATTTTAATTTTGGACTTCTAGCCTCCAGAATTGTGAGACAATATATTTCTGTTGGTTTAAGTTGCCCAGTCTGTGGTAGTCTGTTGTATCACCCCTAGCACTCTAATGTTCAGACCGTAGTTATAAAATCCATAATATATAGGTAAATATTTTTGTGATTGTTGGTATATAAATTAAAATGTATAAAACAATGGTAAATTGGTATCGGTGTTAAAGGAAATTTAAAAACCAAATTTTCTGGGCAGATGTCCCCATAGGCACGCTGCCACCATCACACTTCTCGCCTGCTTTAAATAATTGAGATATATTAGGCCGGGCGCCATGGCTCACGCCTGTAATTCTAGCACTTTGGGAGGTTGAAGCGGATGGATCGCTTGAGGTCAGGAGTTCGAGACCAGCCTGGCCAACATGGTGAACCCCTGTCTCTACTGAAAATACAAAAAATTAGCTGGGTGTGATGGCGGGCGCCTGTAATCCCAGCTACTCAGGAGGCTGAGGCAGGAGAATCACTTGAACCTGGGAGGTAGAGGTTTCAATGAGCCAAGATCCCGCCATTGCACTCCAGCCTGGGCGATGGAGTGACACTCTGTCTCAAAAAATAAATAAATAAATAAATAAATAAACAAACAAACAATTGAGATATATTGAGAGAAGGGGTTGGAGCAGCTTCTGCTCTGGAGTCCCCCACCTCCTACCTCCTTTACATGGCTGAACACAGCATGCGCACACACACACACGCACACACACAAGCACACATGTATTTCTTCAGGTGAAGAGCAGGGTAGCTCTTCTGCTACTGGTCAAAAACCGTATTTCTGGTCTTATTTGTTCACTTAGTAAGTATCTAATAAGTTTAAGACCGTCTGCTGAGTACTATGAGACTAGAAAGAAAAGACATCAATCTTGTCCTTAAAGATTTTGAGTCTCCTAGGACTATAAATAAGTAAAACACAGGAGAAATACAATGTGTCCCATAAAAAGATACCAACTACTTTGAAATGTAAATTTTAAGTGCCCTGGAACTTCAAAGAAGGGAGAAGAGACTTTTAAGCCAGGATGTTTAAGGTGTTCACCCAAGTCCAGTAATTGAGCTGGATCATAAAAGATGGGCACAAGATAAAGTAAAAAATAATAGACAAGTCAAGCATGGTGGTACATGCCTGTAGTTCCAGCTACTCAGGAGGCCGAGGTGGAAGGATCACTTCAGCCCAGGAGTTCAAGTTCAGCCTGGAGAAGATAGCAAGACCCCATCCCAAAACAAACAAAAAAAACCCAGCTGACATACTAGAAGAAAATATTCCAATATATATTACAAGTAAAGGATGAATGCCCGTAATATAAAAAGAACCTTTGAAAATTGAGGGACACAGAACCAAAACACAGCAGAAAAATGGGAAAAAGAATTGAATACACAATTCAAGAAAAAAGATATAAAGAATGGCCCTCAGCTGGGCGCAGTGGCCCATGCCTGTAATCCCAGCACTTTGGGAGGACAACGAGGGCAGATCACGAGGTCAGGAGTTCGAGACCAGCCTGGCCAAGATGGTGAGACCCCGTCCCTCCTAAAAACACAAAAATTAGCCACGTGTGATGGAAGGCGCCTGTAATCCCAGCTACTTGGGAGGCTGAGGCAGAGAACTGCTTGAACCCAGAAGGCAGAGGCTGCAGTGAGCCAAGGTGGCACCACTGTACTCCAGCCTGGGCGACAGAGCGAGACTCCATCTCAAAAAAAAAAAAAGAATGGCCCTCAAACATATGAGAAAATGTTAAACTTACTTGTAATTAGAAATCCGTAAGTTAAAACAAGACGGAGGGAAAAAACTCGCGAACCACAACGCAGCGTCATGCGCACGGCCTCTGTAAGTGCACAGTCGTTTCCGGTGGACCCCGAGACTACAGTTCTGCTTGCGTTCTCGGGGGAAAGTGTCGGTCTTGGGTCTGGCCATGCCTGAACCTGCAAAGTCCGCGCCGGCTCCCAAGAAGGGCTCCGAGAAAGCCCTCAGCAAAGCCCAGAAGAAAGATGGCAAGAAGCGCAAGCGCAGCCGCAAGGAGAGCTACTCCATCTACATGTACAAGGTGCTGAAGCAGGTCCACCCCGACACCGGCATCTCGTCCAAGGCCATGGGCCTCATGAACTCCTTCGCCAACCACATCTTCCAGCGCATCGCGAGAGAGGCGTCCCGCCTGGCGCACTACAACAAGCGCTCCACCGTCACGTCCCGCGAGATCCAGACGGCCCTGCGCCTGCTGCTGCCCGGCGAGCTGGCCCAAGCACGCCTTTTCCGAGGGCACCAAGGCGGCCACCAAGTACACCGGCTCCAAGGGAGTCCCGGCTGCTTGACTCCAAAGTATCTTTTCAGGGCTACTGAACCCCCTCAGTGAAAGAATCTTTCTTGTGTTGTCGGTCCCAGTTTATATTTTTGGCTTCCCGCCTGCTTAACTTTCAGAGAGCACACAACTCCACCAAGCACAGATAACTACATTCTTTTCACATAGGCATTGTTGTAAGTAAGCTTACATAGATTGATAGTGCTATCTTACTATGGTATAGATATGCTGGGGTTCGCCTTAGGGGCTGCTCTTGAAACTGTCTTTGTCTGCCTACCTACCCGTGAATATGTGCCCAGCAAATTGTTTCCTGGTGAGAAATGCAGTGTTAATTTTGATAAGCTTATGTAAGATCAAATTGTCTATATGAACAAAGGTTGGGTCTGCTCTTCAGTGGTAAAATGAAGGTAGAGATTAAATACATTGTACGCTCTCAGATGTGTACTTAAAAGGGAATAAATAGTTCAACTTAAAAAAAAAAGAAACAAGACTGAGATATCACTTCTCATCTATCAGACTGGCAAAAAATTAAAAAACATAAAAATATGACAACACATTTTGTTGGTGAAGCTATGAGGAAACAGTTGTTCTCCTGTATTGCTGGGGGAACACACCCCACACAACCCTTCTGAAGAATCTGGCAATACCTAATAAAACTTGCTATTTACTCACCATTTGAGCCAGCAATCTCACTTCTGGGAATAAGCGTACGTCTAGCATTAATTGCAGCACAACTTGTAATTGCAAAATACTGAAAACAACCTAAATGCTCGTACATAGGAGAGTGGTTGAACAAATTATGGGACATCCACACCATGGAGTACCATGTAGCTATAAAAAAGAATGAAGACAGCCTCTAAGAACTGATTTGCAATGATTTCTCGGATGTACTGTTAAGTGAAGAAAGTTAGGTGCAAAAAGTATCTACCTTCAAGTATGCTACCCTATGTAAGAAAGAGGAGAATATAAGGAAATATATATGTATCTGGTCACTTGTGCACAATAAATACAGGAACAATAGCAATATATCCAAAGGGACTGGTTAATTACAGGGGATGTGGAAAGAAGGTAGAAACTTGTCAGTAGGAATGAGGAGAGAGTGATCCTTCTCTGAGTATACTGTTTCACATAGTTTTGACTTATAGGACAAGAGTCATGTCATGTCTCAAAAAACAAGTAATTAAACCAACCAGGAAGGTCAGGCACAGTGGCTCATTCCTGTAATCCCAAGACTTTGTGAGGCCAAGGCAAGAGGATCACTTGAGCCCAGGAGTTCAAGCTCAGCCTGGGCAACAAAGTGAGACACCATTTCTACAAAAAAAAAAAAAATTAGCCAGGCATGGTGGCACATGCCTGTGGTCCTTGCTACCCAGGAGGCTGAGGCAGGAGGATTGCTTGAGCCCAGGAGGTTGAGGCTGAAGTGAGCTATGTTTGTGTCACCGCACTCCAGCCTGGGCGACAGAGCAAGATTTTGTCTCAAAATAATAATAATAATAATAATAATAATAATAAACCAGGCGTGGTGGTTCACACCTGTAATCCCAGCACTTCGGGAGGCTGAGGCAGGCAGATTGCTTGAGTCCAGGAGTTCGAGACCAGCCTGGGCAACATGGTGTAACCCTGTCTCTAATAAAAGAATATATAATAAGGCCGGGCGCGGTGGCTCAAGCCTGTAATCCCAGCACTTTGGGAGGCCGAGACGGGCGGATCACGAGGTCAGGAGATCGAGACCATCCTGGCTAACACGGTGAAACCCCGTCTCTACTAAAAAGTACAAAAAACTAGCCGGGCGAGGTGGCGAGCGCCTGTAGTCCCAGCTACTCGGGAGGCTGAG